AAATAGATTCTTACATGTTTTTAATTTTTCCAATATATAGGAATGGTCGCTAAGAACCCAACAATCCCATATGTTATCTAGATTAAAATTATAATTAACATCTATTTGATCCATTAGAATCTTTATAATCTCTTTCTTATCTTTTAAAATGTGATTACGTGTTCCTACATTGACAATCCATATTAAGTAAATAACAAATATATTTGATCCATCTGGCTGCATAACTGTTTCATATATTATCTTTATGAACTCTAAAAGTGTTTCAGTTAGTTCATTAGTCTCTCTAGAACAATTCACTATACTTCTAATTAAGGAAGATCTTGTAATAATAGCACGCTTATTATTATTATTTGCCACAATCATCATCAACTTTTTAAAGCATTCTAATTTAACATCTATAGAATAGTCTGACATCTCTAAAATGTCACTAACTATTGTACGAAAATTATATCGAGTGATTATAGTAACCTCGTCCCAGCAGCTCTCAATTCTTGGATAGTAGTTCTTGCTGTCTTTATTAAGCATGCAATAAAGCAGCATATTTTCTCTTGTTTCAAAATCATCAAGTGAAGTACTTCCTATAAGATTATTGGTAAACCGAACTAGTGAATTATTTTTTGGTAGAGTATTATTTACGTGCACGGCCAAGAAGTATTTAACAATCCTTGCTTTTTGTTCAACAGATCGAATCATCCCATGAAGGAAAATGTCATTTATATTATCATGGTTATTTCTAATACTTTCTTGAATTCGGCTAAATACAGACTTTTGCTCCATCTTAGCAAGTTCTATGTTTATGTACTGTCTAATTGTGTATGCTGTGTAACTCTCTATATTACTATAAGTATTCTGTATTTCAGTCAGCTTTTCTTTAATAATATTTTTGTCTTCACTAGACAATAGGTCTTCCAATATGCTTAATGAGGAATGACCAGGAGTTATCTCTACTAATATTCCATTTTTTTTCTTATTGAAAGTATATACTAGCTTAAACTTACCAAATAAGTCCAGATTATTATCTTCTCGTCTACCTACTGCAAATGTGTCACACTCTATTTCAAGATTCTTGTTATTTGATAGCTCCTTGAATATTGTAGTCAAGCTTCGGGTTATATCAAGCCAAACAATAACCTTCTTATCAGCAAGAAGCTTTTCTAAGTACTTAATTTGTTTAACTACTTCTTCTTTGCTTCCAGTTATATCCGATACAACATAAAGAATATTCAACAAACTGCTGTCCAGCTCATTAGTTCCTTCCCTTAAGTAAAGAATCTTGTCATTCTTCAAGTCTGCTATCACTCTACACCAATCTTCGTGCATTTCATAGTCAGTGGTTTCTCTTGGCTCAGTGTACTTTTTAAAGAAGTCTTTCAGTGGCTTAGTTTCTTCATTGTCGGGCAGATGGTCTGTATTGTACTTCTTTTTATTTGGATCATATACTAAACAGCAGACTAGTCCTAGTATACCTGCTTCTACACAGTTGGAGTACTTTCTGCTTTCATTGTTTATGAACTCGCCCCTTTCCCGATCATATGCTTTAATCCGATCATAAGATGGAAGCTGTGATGAATCCATGAATGGAAATATTCTATACTTGTCTATTGTATCCATAAGATCGGAAATGTTCTTGGTGTGGTCGATTTTACTTGGCCGTACACTTTCTTGTATAAAGCACTTGTTAAATACTCTTTCGTATGACTTTTTTTATTTTTTGAAATAGATTTATTGTCATTTACTATCTGGTCATTCAAGATAGTATATACAGCATTTACAAACTCAATATACTTTTCTTTTGTGTCAATAAACTCGTATATATACGACTGAATAAGGAACTGCACGGTACTTAAG